GGGGGGGGGGGGGGGGGGGGCTGAGTGTGTATATATCGATTGGCATGAGCTATCAGATCTTATGGTATATATTGGAACTTTCGTCGAGTCGTGGACGATTTTCCCTCGAGTCGATCCGCTCTCGCGAGCGTCTATTGTCAAAGACGAGCAAGTTACATTGACAATTCGACTCTCTCGCTGCGTGCGTCTGTCACTGCATAACGAAAGTATCATCCCCTCCCTCCCTACTCCGTTAATTCGAAACTGCGTGGATTTATTTTTCTGGCTACATGCATCGCGCAATTTCTGCACGCAGAGAAAGATACAGCTTCGAGAGAGCTGCAATTATAATAAAACGTACTATTATCACATTATTAAAAAGCTGCCGAATGATAAAAATCATCCAAGAGTGCTGCATTGACACTTTTCGCGCGACCTCCTCTGCCGTTTTTTTACTGCACTTCGAAAATGACGATAATATTCGCGCGCGCGCGAGAATAAAACTTTTTTTTTCGTTTATACAAGCACTCGATCGTTCTCGCTCGCTGCTGCAGTGATTGTGCAATTGAACGTTAAATGCATCAAACGGTGCATTACTTTTTTTTATTCGTGTACGATATACACTGCCGTTCAATCACTTTTACCTTTACCTAAGTAAAAAATGAGTAAACTTCAAAACGTCATAACTCAGTCAAAAAAAGTCTTATCAAGATTTTGAACCGACCATTTGAAAGGTATTTTCAAGTCCTTTCTAGCCATATAAATTAATATTAGGATTATAGATTTATTCACTTATTGTCGTTAACAATTAACAAGTGGGAAAATAGTATATTTCTCAACGGGTGCACATATGGTTTTTTAGCAAAACGAGGGATTATAGCACGAGTTTTGTTAAAAAACCATATCTGCACCAGTTTGAGATACTATTTTTTCCTACGAGAGCCTAAAATTAGCGGCAAAGTTGCGTATTTTAGGTTAGAGTGAGGAAAAAAAGTTTTTCTGATCTTTGCTATTTCTGCTGTCAGTTTAGTAAGAAGACTCGTAGAAACATTCTGAGCCCATCAATTTGTAGGTTTTGTCAAGAACCTTAAATCTTTTTTTTAAAAAGGGTCCTACGGGCCTTATTCGCAAAGATATGGCCGTTTACTGGACCCCAATATTTTTTTTAATTCAGAATGTTTCTACGAATCTTCTTACTAAACTGACAGCAGAAATAGCAAAGACCAGAAAAACTTTTTTTTTCGAGTTGTTAATTGTTAACGACAATAAGTGAATAAATGAATAATCCTAATACTAATTTATATGGTTAGAAAGGGCTTAAAAATACCTTTTTCTCCTCCTCTGACCGAAAGCTCGTTTTTCTTCCCTGTTATCGGGGAAGAAAGTGGCACTTTTAATCCCGGCTGCGCGTTGTAACGTGTACTGACCTAGCGCTGCTATGTGTGTGTACATACGAGCAACTTAACCTCAACAGACGGCCTTCAATCCGTGCCATCAGTATAAGAATACTCAAATAGCATACTATTATTCGATTAGTACCGAGCAACCAACGTTCGGGTTGCGACAAGAATTTCAAAGCAATGGGTATGGACTTGTGGATTATTTTTCCAAGGTACGCATCTGTAATCCAAATAGCATTCAACGATAGCCGACTGTCTGCATGGCCATCCCCGCCTCAGGCCCAAGTCACGTAAAGGCCAAGGGAGGGATGGCCGCCCCAGGACCGACGACGTGGACGTGGTCGGCTGTCCGGTCCCAATTTTTTTTAATTTTTTTATTTTTTTTTTTTATTTTTTTTTATTTTATTTTGTATTATTTTTCATCCTTTTTTCACGGATTCCTCCTGGTAACACGTCTATTCTTCTTTTTCTTGTGCCTCGTCGTCCTGAATCGATCCACTCACGATCTATCTCCTCCTAGGAGCCCAATCAGCCTCGATTCGGGCATGTTGGCCATGTAGCGTATCCTGCGACGCATCTCGTCCGGTGTAAAGACAAGCAAGAAGGGGTCGCTCGCTGCCATGAGCACGCAGAAGGCGTCATTTTTATTGGCCCTGTACGTTATGTCGTCCCTCATCAGGTAGCGCGCCATGGCCAAAAATGTCCGATCGACGTCACCAACATTGCATTGTCGTGGATTGGCCGATCGGAGGTGACAAGGGTCTTTCGTGGTGGTGGTGGTGCTGCTGCTGCTTCGTTTGGTGGTCGCTGTGGTGGTGGTTGTGCTGCTGCTCCTTCTGGTGGTGCTCGTACCTCGTCGATCCGCTGTTGGTCGACCTCCATTAGCTGGGCCTGGGGAGGCGGTTATAGTGCCACCAAATCAAGCGGCTGCACGCGAGCCATTTGCCTGGCCATAGCGTCTCTGTTTTGGTGGACCGACCGGCACACGAGCACCCACTGTGTCGGATTCACATTATTCTGCGGCAGCATAAATTTGCCGGGGAAGCATTGAATAATGTGTTCCGACACCCGCTGCAATTGATTGATGTTTGGTTGACCAGCGAAGGAGAGCAGCACTGTGCCGACGATGGTGTGCGGGTCAAGAATGGCCTCGACCACTTCCACAGCAAGCACCACGTGTGGATGGCGCCCAGTGTTCTTCTCGCGTGGAAATGATACGAGGTCAAATACTTGACCCGGAGTGTCGACTCTCCATGTTCTGGAGATCAAGATCGAGCGTGCCACGTGCTTTGCGTACAGCAAGAGCAGCTTGCCCTCGCTCGGCAAATGCTGCAGCAGTCGCTGTCGCTTGATGACCTCCAGAACGGTATTAAAGTACCACGCGATGAAGTGGTGCGGCGCTGTAGGTGAGCGCGTGTGAGGTCGAACCGGAAGGGGCGCAGCGTGGCTCTCTCGGCCCGTATGTCCATCGAGCCGGTGTGTGGACACGTCGAGCTCAAGAGGCAGCGCGTGCGAGTCATGGACAGCAATTCGGTCCAATCTATCCTCTTCAAGCTGCCCTCGCACAACCACGTGAGGGCCAGCTCGTTGTACCAGACTC